GGGACATGTGTTACGTATGCCGAACCATCGTTTGCCGAAGAGAGTACTGTTTTCCATGCCCAATTCGGAGTGGCGTAAACAGAGAGGTGGCCAACCCTTGACTTGGCAGAGGAGTATGAAGGAGATCACGAAACGCTTGGGTGCTGTCGGTGCTACTCGCCTTCCAGGATGGGGACCGCGTGAACCTCACTGTGCCTGTCATGATATATAGCCTCCATCGGCGAGGCTTTGATAAGAGGAGAGATTGCATCAAATAAGCAAACAAATTCTGAGCTAACATCAATATGTTTACCACGGTGACCATTCTAGCATAAATTTGGCTCGTGATTTCTAAATTATTGACCAACCATTGGGCGTTTATGCGATGTAGAGAGGTAATCACACCGAAAATGCTTCGCAGTGGAACATTTTTTGTTAATCTTAGGCTGACATTAAAGTTGTCGTGGTAGGATACTGGAAGGCTGAAGACGTTGAAATACGACTTCAAAATTTAGATCTCTATTTTCCAGGCGCTCTATCCATTTGGCCAGCTGTTTCTAAACTCCCTATGTCTTGTCCTTTACTCTCCGCTAAATTTTGAAGAGCCACTCAAGATCTGCCTCAGTCTTTTGAAGCAGTCATCCATGTTCACAAGTACTTTTACCGGTGTTTTGTCAGGCTTTGTTAGCAGTCACAGAGCTCTTATTTCGTCAAGATGCTTCTTAGTACGAGAACCTCCGTAACCCAACTAAGCGTGATTGTACACATAGCTGCGACTGATCAAATTGTGTGAGGCGGTCTTGTTCGGCTGATGAGTCCAGCACCACATAATTAGTCTGATCAAATACATTTTCAGACTTTACTTCAATCTTAAGGGCATAATTTTCTCCGTGGCAATAAATATTTCAGCAGCTTTTTGTCACGAATGAATTTAGGATAGTTTTCTACGTCCTCCTATGGTTTTTTTGGGGAAGTTTTGGCTAGCGCTCTTTCTTTATTTAGCTAATTTTTCAGCCTAGATGTTTCCTGGTTTAACGTATAAACTAACATTCATCGTCTCAAGTACTCTGTACAACGTAGACTTCGGATGACTCTTCGTCGATACTCCCTCGCTTATGCAGACAGCGTACCGGGCTGACTGTGTGTGTCACTTTAGTGACTTCACTAAGTTTTAGGCTTTTGCAGCGAATTTAGCGCGCGAAATGTCATTAACTGGTGACTACCTTATTTTCTTTGCAGTTTTCAGACAAAGGATGTTCTTGATTCTATTTTATTTGAGCTCGTACTAGCGAGCACAGATATTGTTTTGTGTCTTTCTAGCACAACATATTGCAGGAAATCAATTGTTCTTGTAACTGCTTTGCTTCCGTCTCACTATAAAACGAATATCATTCACATAAAAAATAAATCGATACTTTATGAAGAATACTCCTTGTGTAGCATGTTCTTCTAAATATGCAACACATAAGTTTGAATTGTCCTGATTATGTTCTTCGTTTTTTTATCATGCGCATGGTGGTTCGTGGTAGCAGAGTGTGAGCATACATCCATTTGGCAACTTACTGTTGATCCTAAGTGCAGGATCCGGTTGTTAAAAGCACATCTATTTAATGCTTAAGTGGCCCGTTCACATAGGCTCTTATTCGCCCACTAAATTCTCAGTAAGTGAAAGATGAGCTAATTCTTTATGGTCAACAATTTTTGTCCTGGCTGACGAGTTCCAGCAAACTGCCTGCCGATCCTGCTATTTACGTCCAATTTATGTTTTGACAAATTGAATAGAGGGGAGGGGGCTTTGAGAAACATCACCAGTCTTTTTCCTGCGACAAACAGAGCTGTAAATCAGTTTTCTTTGACTAAGCTTGATTTTGCTTATGTGCAAGGGAATTTTACGCTTGTACCGAAAAACTCTCATCACCTTTCATTGAGCTTAATCTTCATGTAAATAGTTTGCTAAAATCTAACGTCATCGGGTAAAGTCCGTTTGATTTGTCAACCAAATGGTTTATTTCCCCAGTAAAAAGTGCAACTCCAACAAGTGCGATAAAGCTGGAAGTAAAACATTCATGCATGAATTCTAACTCCTAACTCGCACAGCATTAGAATGCTGAACATATTCATTTGCTCTGTTTGCGGGCCGGGTTTTTAGTTCGATGATTTGTCAAACGTTACTGCTCTAGTAATCTACCATAAACTTTGTTTGGTGAGCTTCATACGTGGTCCTTGAGAAGCCAGCTACCCATATGTTTATGGTACCATCCTGTTTACAGAACCTTTCATTCGGGAGACAATCTAACCACAAGTCGACTGTGCAGCAACACTTGCCGGAAATTGGTGTATTCATAAATCAACCAAATGCAGCACAGCTCACCTTGTTTACAATGGGGTGCAATGGAGAGAAGTGGGCTTGAATCCAATAAAACATGCAAAAAGTAATTTCCTTTCAGTTTAACTTTCCCTGTACGACAGTCGGGTGTAATAACTTCATCGAGAAAATCAAGAAGGTGACATCATAAGAAGACAATCTAAGCAACTTAATCGAGGAGTAATTAGTGGGGAATCTGAAAAATGGGTGATTCCTAAGCAAGCAAAATCTGACACTCACATGCATGTGAGACGCAGTCCAAGAAATGAAGCTGCAATTTTTTCTGGATAGTTTTTGTCACATATGCATGTTCTATTCTTCTTTCTACACTACGGCCGCGTCTTAATACATTTTAAGATGTTGAATTTTTTTTATCCATTTGGCGTTCATTATTGAGTAATTTCCTGGAACTACATTCAACAAATGGCTCGTTTTTTTCAATAATGAGGCCACGTTAGTGCCACATGATAGGGAAGGTCCCAAACGGAGATTTTTTTCGTGAAAAAAAATGAGCCACAGTATGACATGCTACGATACAGTATGATGCTTTGGAGAGGTTATACTTCTACATGTATGTACACGACAATATATGTTTACATATACTTACATACTCACTGATGCTTAGAAATATTTTTTTGCGTTCAGTAGGCCATAGTAAACAATGTGCGAGTCCGTCTAACTGTTGTTGCTAGAAGCAAATCCTGGATACCACCACTTTGTACATTCCTTTTTTCTGTTGATTTTAAGCCCACATATGCAATTTTCAGTGAATGTACTAACCACCGGAATGTCACTTTGACTCTTGCTGTGACAAGTCTTCTAGCGTCATTGGTTGTTCGTCGCCTTACGGCTGCACACGAAGCCTGGATTTCGAACAGGTAGGTATTTCTTCGGCCATTTCTTCTCATTTCCCCTGGTGTAAAAAGAAATCACCTGTAGATATATGGACAAAGTCAAACCTCACGTTCCTAACTGTTTTAAACTCGTAGACTTCGTTCCGCTCTTATCTAACCACTTAAGGTTTACGAAAAGTTCTTCCGGACATCTAAGCTTCCACGAAAGATGCGCAATAACGCCTTATTGACTGACTCATAGGTACGAGTGAAATCAGCATTTCGTAGATGGGTCTATTTTTTCCATGTTTTTCCTGTTCTATCGTCTTTGCATCAGGGATTACGTCCACGACGCTTCTGAACTCAACCTTCACTTTGGGAACTGCGCGGACAAAATACGCACGTTGCGTGCATCAGATTGTTCTCCCAATAGTTGTGTCTTCAGCCGGTTTTTTTTGTCCATATGGTGGAATTATGGTCACATACTTCAATATACCTAGGTTGTGTAAGCGCCTCTGGCGATGTTGGTCCCATTATTTTTAGCTAATCTACGAATGAAACTCTATTTCCGGCTGACTCTCTATTTACAACCTGTTTGAGGCCGCGTGTAGTCTCAGAAGTCGGGGTTGATTGGGCAAGTAGTTATTCGTTAAAAAACAAATTTATATGAGCCCGTTCTATCTCCGTTAGTCGACTGAATTGTGTCAACAAATAAGCCTTTCCAAACTGTCAGGATTCGCTCACCTTGTTGAGATTTTCGAAGCCTACAACATATTAAATCGTCCTTCAAAATCACATTCAAACCCTGTGCAATTTGTGTAAAATTGAATCAGTTCGTTTGTTTGTCAGTTCCCACAGATAATTCAATAGCCTCCTCCTATTACTTCTGATTTGTTTTCAGAATGTTCCATCTGCTCGATCTTCGATTGTTTTGATAAATACCGAATGCTTCACCAACTCTTTTCTATACCCAAACCATATTTAAAAAGTCTGCCTGCGGATGTTTTTATACTAGTCCAATAACGTCCAAGTAAGCTTTGAATCTGGCTGTTCACAAGACCAGTCATGAGAGCTTCGTGAAACTTCAGGATAGTTTCTATAGTCTTTAGATCTCTTACATTCATGTTGTATAGTGCGGCTGCTGGGCATGGTGGTTTCCAAATATACTTTAGGATATGTGATCCACGTTGCAATTGGCTCCGTTTAGCACTGTTACGACTATTATACCACCGACGCTCCTGCTTTTCGATGATACGCAGGTAGCCATTTCCAGTCCTTCGACGGAACTGTGTTGCAACCTGTGGCCGTTTCACTGCGCTTCATCGTAAGTTTGTTGTTGACTTCCCGTTCAATTTTTTCTTGCATCTACCTCTAAAATGTTGCATCCATGATCACTAGCTAATTGAATTTGTCCAGCAAGGTGGTGTAATCCCCGGAGTACGCATACCTGGTCAGGTTTGACGAGTGGATTGGGGTTCATTCTGTTCTTCATTCTTGTTTGGCATAAGGGAGGAGCATAGCTATTTACGCACCGATGAAGAGTTTTGCGACACGGAGCACTGTACACGAAATGTTCGCAGAGTCCAGATTTTCCAGTATTGGCGGGACACTGTAATAGGAGTACCGCTTGTAGGAGTCGCATAACGCTGTAGATATCACCTTGGGTCGTAACACATTATCGTGGCCTATAAAACATGAGTAAGAATAACGGAATTTCTTAAGGCTGCATGCTATAGTTGCCTGTTCAACTGAATAATGCATGCTTAGAAGGATTTATTGCTGAAAGGGAAACACCCTTCCACAATTCGTTCAGCAGAAATGAACCACCAATTCACTTTAAAAATGGTTTTGCGGCTTTTGAAGTCGTTACATAATTAGTTTCCATGAAAACACTGGTAGTGAGCAAAGTGAGCGGTTCGACATCCAAGACCTCGAAATATTTAAAGATCCAGTTGGACTGAATAACTTGCATAAAGTCTACTCTACCCTACCTGTCTACCCCTACCCTTTAGACGGTTACGTCTTTCTCCTAGAAACAGGCAATTCTCACGACCATCTACTGTAGCCGAACCCCATTAGACACGTTCATGTGGTTATTGAATGCATGAAATCGGTGAAAATCGGTGAAAATTACCTGAGGAATATAAAGCTTATTAGGAGCATCCCAGAGTTGGTTCAACGAAGAATTCCTTAGCTAATCACTCCACGATTACCAACCCTCCAGTTCCAAACGTACTAATCTACTCTTATGTAACTAGGGCGAACGCAAAATCTTATATTTTGTCCCTAGTTATTTTGAGGGTCATTAGAGCCAAATGGGCAAATGACGGTAACGATGATGGGGCTGTTTGAACGTGTGTCCGGGTTTTCGACTGCGAAAGTGGTCGTTACAATATAATACTCTGAAAGGCTGAAAATGCTTTAAATCTTCTAAAGTACAGTCAGGATTTTGGCGAAATTACCACGGATGTTTTATGAAGGCGAAAAAAGCAGCATGCACCAGCTGGTATAAGAGCCGTTTGTCGGAGCTCGTCAGATTGTGTATATAATACAGTCGCATTTATTACAAAAATAGCTCTCTGGTATTCCCTTGTTAAGTTTTTTGTCAGATATTCTCTAAAAGAAATTTGTCGTTGTACTACGGGTCTTATAGGCGGTCATCAAAAAAACATCTATGTCCTTTCGTTGTAATTTTTATCAGATTTCGGGATTTCATGAATATATTTGGGTAGACAATCGGTGAATGGTTTCCCTTCGATAGCGCAGAGAGCAACGTGTTTAACATGGTCGGCTCACACTCAGACCACCGAGTACAAACCATACTCACTTCCGCGGTCTCCTGTCCTGAACTAGTTCGAAGGTTTTCGAGAAATACACTCATTTGCAAATCAATTTGGTTTTCACCGGAGACTCAATTGAATCTCTCGTTTATGATGTTCTCCAGCTGAATGTGCTGCACGCAGGCCGCCTCATGATTCAGTTGGCACGATATTCGAGATATCGCAGTATATTTTCATAAAGGAAACTACTCACAAGGTTGCTGAAAACTCTTCGACAGCCCAAGACCGGTTTCGCCCTTCTTGGGACTCATCAGGTAGGCGCAATCTCCGGGTCTCCGTCAACCTTATGATCTACTTGGACCCAAAGGTTGGACCCGAAGGTTCTATTTCTTCAACAATGTGATAGCCTTATTGTCCACCGGCAAAATACAGTTATCCACAACTAGAGTTAGTTCTTGGAAGACACTCAAGTGCATCCGAGCTACATCTCTATTTTACGGTGTTCTTCAAATGAATGTGCTCCACGCACACGCATTACCATGTTCAAAATATATCAGTATAATTCTTTGGTTGGACGTGCTACGCAGGAGGTGGGTGAAAACGTATGCGAAGCTGGGTTTTTCGGTAGATTGTCCGGATACTCCGTGTGCCATATCATCAAAATAGTGTGCGTAATGTCTGAAATTTTGACCAGTTATTCCTGTGCCAGACGTAAACCCAGTTATCAAAGTTTAAAATGCGGTAACCAGTGTTGGGCATTACATAGGTTCTATATATTAAGAACAGCTTATTCAATCAAGAAAAACGTATTTCTAAATCATGAATGGTGACTCAGTTCTACCTCAACACGCTCAACGCGGCACTCCCCGTTACAAGGATATTCACCTGCGTGCTAACTTTGCACCATCTAAATAAAACTCGGCAATGATTTCCTTGAATTATCGGGCCGTTGCTCACATGATAAACCACAAACAGGACGAGGAAACGTGGGCTGCTAGTGGACTTCCGCTTAATCTGAAATTCGTATATTATATCAAAGTACTCAATCGGTCCTCTTCTTTGACTCGTCAATGTATAATCTGTCAAGCAGCCGCTCGCCGTCATCTTATACGCTTAGACCACTTGACCGAGTTATCTGGAATAATCATTTTCGCACCCGCATGCTTCTTTAGCAAGTAATCTTCAACTCATCAGATAATTTGCATAATCCAAAATTACGCGTTCCCCAGCTGTTACTCATCTCGTGGCTCTGTGAAGTTAACGTAATTACCTACCACCGTTCCTCAAAATCGGACCAGAACCGGCTATTTTCAAGAGCACTTCGTACATTTTAGCAAAAAAGAAATCTGAATACGGGTATAGACAAAGTCATTCAAGCGAAACTGGCGTGCAACGAAACGGAACTAGGCCAAAGTTATCTGGTTTTCTGTCAGGTCAAAATTTATTCAGGTGAAAATCCCGGATTCATGCTTGGTTTGTTTTTAATCCCCTCAGTGAGATATTTTCTTGGGTGCGAATAATACTAAGGCTTGATATCCGATTTCCGAGAACCCTTTATTCTGTAGCTTCTTTCGATATGCTTATGAATATCCAAGAAAACATACCAAGCGTTCCCATCGGATTGAGCCTTCAATTTTAAAAAAAACTTTGGGCTAGCGGAAAATGGTGTATTGCTGTATTATTGCTCTATTTGGACTCCAGTATGATAGGAATGTCAAGCATTTAACCCTGGTTGAACAAGACGATTATAAAAAACAAGATGTCTTAGTTGATTTAGCAAATCAACTAAGCCCTTGTCGTCCGATTTCTCATCAATGAATTCATGGGGTAGCTTAAAATACTACCCTTATATCGTTTACAGCGCCTTCACTTTAGAGGGTCCCTTGAAGTTATACTCGTCTGCCTATCTTTGTTCATCTTGGGCTATCAAACTAAGCAAATAAGCTGACCAACGATAAACGATTTTCAGCCGTCAAGTCTTCTTCAAGTCATGAACGTCGATGGACGAATTCAATTTAATATCTCCGCTTATTAGGCCACACCATAAACCTCTGCAAGAAAACCTTTTACAGGGTTCAGTGCAATAGCATTTTCCGATCACTCCGTTAGTAAACCTCTGAATTATTTGGGTTACTCGGACTGATTTTGAAGGGCACTTCTGCTTTCAAGACATTTATGAGTAACACCTCATCGTGTTTAGTCTTACGAGGAGCACCTGAAATTCTGTTCCCCAAGGAGTATTTCAGTGGGATTTAGTGGACTCGTAGCGACCTGGTGAATTTCCAAAATAAGATGTGCCGTGTTATCTTCAATCCAAACACCAGTTTTCTGGGTGTCTGAGTAAGCTAAAAGTAATCTAATCCATCATGTTCACTGACTGGATTGCATACCTGTGTAAGCCTGCACGCACTTAAACATGCCGAAGTCATTTGCTCTGATTTGTGTTTCAATGCTGTTCACCAATTAGTCCTCGTTTGTGTCTATCATAATCAGTCTTATTATCGTTTTCAGACTTAGAGCGTAGACTAGACTTCGTAAGTGGCTTATGATACATGTCTTGCCGGTAGCTGCTAAATCAGATTGACATTGCATTGACACACTCTTGCTAGTCTCATAAACAAGACTGTCAATAAGTGATATCAAGTAAAATAACCCACACCGGAAGTCCAGATTTCAAACTGGCCGTTTTTCATTGGCTACTTGCGGGTAAGTTTCTCCCATGTAATGCAGTCAAAAGTGTTTTCTAATAAAACTTCCAAGACAAAATGATCACGACGGATCCTTTCGATTTGTCCTCCAATCGCCCGGCAGACGGTCATTGCGGTGCTCACTTACTTAGCATGTCAAATTCCTCACTTTTTTTCCTTTTAAATAGAGTCGAGGACCAGAATGGTCTGTTCAAGAACACTATGGGGCTAGTCATTCCTGTTCGCGTTATAATTTAAGGTAACGGCATTCCAGGTAGGTATACTGAACAAACCCCAAAGAAATAAGGTACAGACCTACATTGATGTCCCTGAAGATGAACAGCTCGTTTCTTTGACCTATCACTCAGGACAAAATATTAAATCTTTATGGTGCCATGAAGCTACATCTTACACCGGCCATGTACAGTGTATCTTTAAGCTACCCAATAATTCTGCTGATTAACAAGGACAGACCAGGGGTTCTGGCTTCAGTCACAGTCACTTACTGTTTGGGTGCATCACTGACACATTCTACGCTGGTATTTCGATCTTTCACATCGTTCACATCCACAACTACTATCCAAAACACCTGCCTAGTGGCAGCGCAGAATCAATTAGGAGCACCGCCAAGGCTCTCTTCTTACTCTTGCAAATCTGGTTGTCATCGGGTGAGATCAAACTTCAATCAGGAAATGACAAGCAACCAAATGAAACGAATGGACCTTCTCTCAAATCAAGTACCCGTTTGTTCTGCTCCGTTTTGAGTCCTCGTCGTAGATCTGCGTTGGTCCTTAAATACAGACTGAAAGCACATGTTGGTGTTCCCGGTAAAGTTTTGACTAAAGTGGAGAAAAATCAAGCCTGTTCATTTTTTCCTTCCCACAAACATATCGTAACCAGTAGTGAATAAAAATATGAATCTGTCTCAACTGCTTTCCGGCGGCAGAGAGAAGGACCAGCTTCAAACATCACCATAACATTTGTGCCAAACACGGGTTGTCAACCATTCGGTTAAATGCCCACTCTCAGTTGAGTAGAATTTAGTAGATCAAAGCACGTATTCTTCATAATCGCCAAAAGCTAATTACAAATTCATGAACAGGCCATATACAAACTTTTGACCACAATTTTATTAAACCAAAATTGAGCCATTCACTTTCATCTGCCACGTTTCTCTATTTGTTAGCGCAGTGAGTTGTTCACTGCCGCCAGTTGGGTTCAAACGTTTCTGCTTATGTGATTATATGTTCTTCCGTAGGTTGTTCGGGATCGGGCCCGATGGATTAATAGGAGCTTCTAATAAACCTCATTACGCTGTGGAATCACCTTATCCCTGTGTTTGACCATAATCGCCTCCGGAAAATTGTGCGAGTTTGCTGGGAAGACCCAATCAGTAGTGCCAAAGTATGCCGGATGGTATTCCGGAATGCTCATTCTCCCTCAGATTGATCAGTTAATCACAGTTACGCAGGTTAGGCTAGATGCTCAGTATGCCAACAGAACCGTTTGCTCCATATAGATTTGTGTCAAATATGGACGACCCAGTGGCGGACAGTTGATGATTTGGAAACCAAGCATGAAGTACTTTAACAGTAAACTCGAAACCACTAGTAAATGCCGCCTTTTCCAACGGGGCCCACCAGATAAGACAAAACAAAGCCCAACGACCCTGGCAGCTATGGCTGTGTCACACAGCCACTTGTAGCCTTGTCTCAATGCCACCGCCCTCTGTGAGTAGCTCTCAGTCTATGCCACACTGAACATAGAACCTTGAGGCGTCAGTGAAGCGATTGGGCCATCATCATCTACTACTCTCCTTATCCTCAATAAATGAACCTGCAACAGATAGAACCACTGCATTTCGACACAGGGATTGTGAACTAAAACAACTGTACCTAACTGATTGAAGTGACGCTGGCGATCATCGCCTGACACATATCGGTATAATATGCGTTGTTATTGCGGGTGTGTTTCTAATTATTACTCATAAAAACCTACAAGGAGCTGATAGTTCCTTATATGACATGGCTTATTTAGTGAACCATTCTCATTCGGGGTGAAGGAGTTCACTCATGTATTTATTAATGAATCTCGGTAACTCTACGAAATACTATTGGCTGTGGTCTTCTAGGAATGCTAAGCAGTAACTTTGACTGATTTCTTGTGAAAAACTTGAAAAAATTCAGAATTCCTGTCCACATTACTCTTTCCTGAATTATTTGTTTCTATCTGGGTGTAATTAGTTGGAAGAAATGCTTCTTCTGACTTTGACTTACAACAGATTTAGTCAGTGTAACGGTGTATACTACTGATGAAGAGTGCCAGTATTGTCTAGCCTGATGTCCAGGTTCCGCCTCTGCATAGGTGAAGGGTGAAGGCTACTGCGGAAAATGTGCAACCACTTTTCGGCTTTCTTTCATAATTGTTTAATTTTTAATGATTGTACNNNNATGCTTCTTCTGACTTTGACTTACAACAGATTTAGTCAGTGTAACGGTGTATACTACTGATGAAGAGTGCCAGTATTGTCTAGCCTGATGTCCAGGTTCCGCCTCTGCATAGGTGAAGGGTGAAGGCTACTGCGGAAAATGTGCAACCACTTTTCGGCATTCCTTCATAATTGTTTAATTTTTAATGAATGTACGGGAAGGTTCGGGAGAACGCTTGAGAATAACAACTCACCAAAACTGTGCATGGAAGAAATTGACTATTGTGTCTTATTTTGTGTAACTGCTGAGATCGTGTTCTCTAATAGGAAACTCCACGCAAACACCGTTCCTCGTATCGCTGGTAGTGCACCTGTGATACACTGAGTTATGAGGATTCTGGAAACGCCCGTATTGCGAGGATATTCCATTGTCCTAAGGATAGCCATGGATGGAAGTTAATTTTATAGACACAATAAGGCAGACTTGAGCACTTAGTTGCATGCAAGGCAAAGAAAAACGGTTCGATCATAGAGTGTACAAGACACGGTGTCGGGATTTTATGTAAGAAAATTCTGGTCATACGCTTCGTAAGTTTTTTTCTAAAGCCAACCACAACAACACAACTGACTCACTCTTCATGGAGACAAATTCAACTGAGTAGTCCTGAAACAGCCTGACTGCTCAAGCCGGTTACCCTAATCCTTGCAAAACACTTTTCCTGTAATCTGTTCTTTTTCATACGTTGTCATGACTACCTATGAGTGCTTTTAAGCGGTTACAGTTGTGTCTACTTCACACAGGTGAAACCCATCCATAAAACTACTACTGTCTTATCAATGGAAGTTGTGACGTTAGAAGTTTAGCTCATGTTTAGCAATATTCCTTCCAAATGAATCTTCCCTTGCAGCTTTGCTTTAACTGATGTCCGTCGAGCTGTATTTGCTGTAGGCATGTTTCAACTGTAGACCTGCAAACACAAATAACGAAAGCACGAATATATAGACTCTCTGCACTCTGCGATACAACATACACCTTAATTAGTAAGATAATCACGTGCAAGTTTGGTGCGAAATCTAAAAAAGTATAGTATTCGCATTACAAGTTGACTGTGGACTTTGATGCTCTAATTATGTATGGCAATGTTTTCTTTCCAAACATTTACTCTGTTCTCAGCGGAGGATCCAAGTGTAGGTACCAGAGGACATACCAGCCACACGAAACTCTGGAATCTCTGTTGGGGGCAGTCTCTTCTACACGCAGTCAGGCCACCACTACCAATGACTTCCATTTACCACGAGCTGCAATCTGAAATAACTGCGCTGCAAGTATGTCTCTGAAATTTCATGAAAAGTTAAGTTTAGCTACTTATCAAATTCTTATTTCATGCCAAAATTCGATGGTTGCGTCTAATGTAGGAACCCATAAGTCCATGATTTTCATTGCGACTCAACAACAGTAAAACTCGAAAAGATGGCGTTGGTCTATCTGACAAGGGGAGAGGTCAAAAAGAAAGTTTGGCATGTATGCTAAGCACACTTCATGGTAGGCTGTGATTTGAGGATGCGAAGATTATATAAGAAAAATATATTGGAACAAGCTACTGTGGCATATAATGAGCATATTGGATGGGGTTCCTTATCAAGCAGACTGCTGTCGGAGCATTCCACACGTTCTTTCATCTCCTGTTAGGTAGTCCTTGCCTTAATTAGGCTTCTGTAGGCAAAAATACTTCGTCCTCTGCTCTACCAACGAACCATCCTTAGACACCTAACATCAAATTATGAAACGTGCGTATGCACGGTAGCGTCTACTTTTAGACAGACATATCTTCAAAACAGTCCTACTTGGTAAAGACGATGAAATTCAAAAATTTCTGTTTGCCTACGTACAAGTTGCAACTACGATAAAGAGGCCTTCAGTCCAAACTGAAGCGGCTGGTTTTCTGGATAAGCCGAATTAACAGTTCCAACAATGGAACCAAAAGTTCGATGGATTAACACTGCCTACGCTACTTCTGGTGCTCATTATCGCGCCCCTAGTCGCAGGCCGTCCTTTTGCAGTCTACGTTTGCTTTTGGGAAGTCCTATTGCCTCCTTGGAGGTGACGTGCGCGTGCTTGTTGTTGCATAATGCCTGAGGCGAAAAGGGTAGGTTTAAGCCTCACCTGATTAACCTCCTGCACTGCGAATCTCATTCTTATGCGCCTTATTGAATTTGCCCACATTTCCATAACATCATTTCTACCACCAGGAATGGTACTTCCATTCGTACACGCGCTAACACAACAAATTCTACATTTCTCTTAATGCGTTTCCAAATTAGATAAAATGCAATTTCGCTGAACTTTGTCTCAACAAAATCACTTCTTCCAGGTGTGAATGGAAAGCAAAAAAATGCAGGGGAGCCTAAGCCTAAAATGTGACATTTAGCTTCATGATAATGAAGAGCCGTAGTATATATTGGAAGGAGGTGGCATCCGACAAGTTCTACCTGAGAATCTGAAGCCTTTAGTGAGTATTAGTATCTATGAGCACGTCTTAAAAATAACCAGCTCAATTTTCTGTGACTGTGGTTTTATTTTGCTCAAGTCTCACTGGATTAACACAATACTTTGTCGGCAGAAACGTCCCGGGGGCAAAATATATGATGCGATTTTCAGCCCATATTCTAAATCGACAATGCATTTCCAGTCCTTGAAGTTCCCAGACGTGTTACTTACTAATAGCTTAATTCCGTTTATCAAGCATCGATCTGACTGTGATATTCGGATTTCACAGTAATATTAGCCGGTAACCATAAGCTGTATGCGTTTGCGTCGGATTATTTGTCTACCTGGATGGTTTCACATTATCAGCACGTGCGAGTGATGCGTGAATGCATGTGTTTAGCAGCTGATGCGCACAGGCACCAATATGAATATTATGGTTCAGCACCTAATTGCTTCACTGTCTTAATAGACACTTACGTCATCTCGAACTACCATATTGGCTCACACATGATGTCTGATAATATTTTGATTCACACTCGTTCATTTTTGAAATATTTACCCGCACGGAAACATTACCTTCCACTTTGACCCTATGAACCCTGTGCATTCTGAATAACAAAACGACGATGTCGTCACAACTGTCATACTATAATCAATTTCACAGCGGACTGTCAAATTCTAAAGGCATTACGAATCCATCTCCCCGGATAGCGGTCAACGGATTCAGGAATTCGATTAAATGTTGAATAAAACAGCAGAAATCAAAAAACATGAAATGATTGGATTTCCCAGTTGTAAACGTCAACTGTGAAATTTTGATCGTTCTAGATTTATAACTCCGTCACCTTCGGGCAAGATTTAGCGTAACCTTCAAGTAGTCCGATTCACTAAACTTCCAGAAACATAAAAAGTCCGTTAAAATGATAAATGAATAATTTATCGAAAGTCGCTTTAACTCTAGTCACCCGGAAACTGCTTTGTAACCGACGACCAGGATAATATGACTGCCTGATGGGTCAGCGCATGGAATGGTGCAGGTGAGAATTCAGGTGACAATTGCAGGCGAAAAATGGACTTGATTGGTGCAAGCAAATGGCAAACAAACTCCAAAGCAGTGAGTATGCCGCGTGTCTGTTTCAGTTAGTGATATCCAGTCTTCGCGTAGCGCTTCCACTCTTGAATAAAATTACGGTATTCGAAGGGAAGCCGTGCATCGATGTAGAGCATGTGAACACACGTCCCAGTCGATGGATGATAATAGAGACTCCGGCAGTTCTTATTCATGGCGCACCTGTGATGGGTTAGGAAAAAAAGGTGACTTGTGAACGGAAATTTTGGAAAACGGTAAACTGTCGTTTCTTTCACGAGAATTTCAATGATGGTATTCATTCATTCATTCACATTCACTCTATCCGAGGCTGCAATGGAGTTTCAAATGAACTTCAAAGGGATACTAAACAAACGGCTCATCACCGTCTGGCAAATTATGCATTAGCTACCGCACTATACCTTGTATTTTTCATGGTTTCACACAGTGTTGTTTTATCAGCCCAGGTTGGATGCTTTGATACCTACAAACCGTCTCTGAGTGACCGAATATTTATTATATTGGTCTGTACAATATGTTTCAAACTGTGAAGGGAAAAAATAACTGTTTGATCATAGCATTGAGCGAACTAGTTATTCTAGTAAAGGATTTCCAAGAGTACAAGATCATCTGTTGTTTTACCTCTCTCTTTGGATGGGCACGGATCGATATTTTTTGCTTGGTCTCGTGAAATAATGGATA